AACACGATTTGAGACCAGTTACTCTGTTAGTAGAAATTCATCACTCATTAAATACAGGGCAAGCATGGCTATCCATAATAATTTTGAGTGCAATGCAGTCTTATAAATTTAATGTACACACTTTATTTAAATGATGCAAACAGCCATATGAAATTGCACATGATTAGAAAACAGGATGAACTCATTTTGCCTCCTGCTTGGTTTCTCATAAACATGAATACATAATATTGTTATGCACTGTTGTTCATAGATGTCTTTTTACATAAAGGGTAAGTATCATATTACTTTAACAGATTATTTTTGGAATTCTGCATGTTTTTTTTTTGTTTCATCAGATATGTGCCCCAATTAATTAACATTTTTTCAAAAAAATAATGAAAGTATTAGAAAAACTTGTCATGTTAATTTTGAAAAAAAACTGAAGTGTAGTACATATTACTAGATAGGATGTCATTCCATTGGTCTATATTTAAAACAACTGTTCTTGAAAATTGAAGCATTACCTTGTGTAATTAATAAAGTACATCAAATCAGATTTGTAAATAAAATATTGTTTAAATCTAAAGTATTCAATATTTTGATTAGATTATTTTTTTAAGAAAAAATATTTAACGTGTATGTGCGAATTTTTTTTTTAAATAGTTTTTTATAATTGCAATGGAAGGGCAATTGTCTCATTACAAGTGGTACAGAAGCCAATACTTGGGTTACCATAGATAAATAAACAAGTAAAAACTGTGGAACAAGTTTTAAGCTCATTTTGGAAAAAAAACCAGTTCTGTAGAAATGCATATTTGTATTTGTTTCTCTAATAAATCTGCAAATAGCTTTAAACACAAATTAGTTTTAATTATTTAAATTATGAGTTCTGTTAAGTAATTTAACACCTGTTTTGCCTTATATTTGTGAAACACTGTCTCATGGAAAGTAATAGTGGATTATTGTCAAAATCAAGGTAGGTCTGCACTTAAGATCAGGTACTTAGCATTTAAGTATGTTTACCTCTATGAAATGATCAAAAAATTTTTGCAAAAAACACTCTTTCCTTCCCAAAACTCACATCTACCTAATGATTGTCCCACACAATAAAAAAAAAAACTTGCATCAACTCTAAATGAGTACAAAAATAAAAGAACAATAAGTAAAATCATGTTTAAATGTTTGATACAGTCAAAATATTTGATACAGATAATTCACTTTTTATATATAATAGCGAAGAACTATGAATTGTTTTTAACCACAGTGACTCAAATAGTATTTAATGTGATTTACACTTTATGATTAAAATTGTTATGTAAGATGCATATATTTCCCTTAAACTTCATAGTAATGTATCTTGAAAATGTTTTAGGGTAAAATACATTCATCATTTCTGTAATTAAATGCAGAATCCCCACATGAGTATTACAATGCTATTGAAGCACAAAGAGAATTCAAATTATGATGAAGTCATTGACTACAATTTTGTTTTTACTAGTTAAAAGTTTTGGGGTATATTGTGATTTTCTGAGGTCATTCACTGACTTACCAATTTTATATAGCTTTTGGCCAATTATAATGCTGCCTTGGCAATACTTAAGATAGTGGGCAATTGTATCATTTTTCTTTAAAAGAATTACTGTGACCTACATTTCACATCAGTACATCTCAAAATTTACACATTTTTAATGGTGTGTCATTTTTTCTAAATATTTCATGTGCTAGAAGATAAAGTATAAATTTTTTTCATATACTCACCAAAACATCTTAGGTAGACTGGGTTATTTTATGGTGTTTTTATATTTTATGTTTGTTTTAGGTGATAAATGTTGAAAAAAATCCCTAAAGGAGTCCAACAGATTTATTATTTCACCCAGTATATAATTATCATGTAGTAAAATAACCCATTTTGGGGGGAGGGTCTAACATACAAACAAGAATCAAATTGTAATTTTTAAAAAACATTGTAATATAAAAATTAACAACTCATTTTTAAAATGAAAACCAAATGCGCTATATTGAATCCAGTAAATAAGCACTTAACCATCACATTTTTCAAAATAACCTAGAGATAAAATTCAGAACCTGCAGGCATTTCTCTACAGACATGTTTTGTGGGATATAAGTCCCTAATAAAATGCATTTGCTAATAAATCTACAACCAAGGAGATGCAACTCAAATGTCTAACAATTTAGATCAAGATTATGTTTTTTTTTTGGGGGGGGGTGACTGGGAGGAGAAGTGTTTGCTTTTACATAGGCAGAAAGGAATAGAGACAATTTTCAGGACTATTTGCATCCAAGCTACTAATTTAATAAAAAATATTCAAAGACCTAATACTCAGCTAGTTTCAACTAGATTTTCTAACTTTGCCAACAGAAGAAAAATCTTTGAGGTTGAATTTCCTATGAAATTTGATGTTATAAAGTCTATAAATTGTTATTTCTGTATCCACATAAATGCTTAATCTAAATCAGAAAACATTACAAAAATCCTTTTTTTTCAAGTTCATGAAACTGATTTTGAGTACATTTAATTGATACCTCAACAGAACCACTGTTCATTGTCTTTAGAACATGTTTATAATTTCAAAGTTTGAACAACTGCCAATGTAATTATTTCTGAATATAAAAATTCTTATTTTCTTGGACTTTTAAAACATTTTCTTAAAACTTTAATAAAGGTTTTTTTTGTTGTTTGTAATTTGTCCCACTTGGGAGCTACTTCATTTAAGATACTTTAAGTGAAGAGATTTAAAAATTATATACATTGCTTCCTTTAGTGGACGTCTCATTTGCTTTTATGATTAACTTTTATTTATAATAAGACTAGTTTTTCCTTAGATGTTAAAAATTTTATAGAAAAATAGAATAGTGGATTTCTTTTAACTTTCTGAAAGAGTTATAGATATGTATGAAGCCATTCATCAACATACTACAAGATATCTCCTGTGTAAACTTCGTTAGGTTTAGTTTTCATAATGATTTTTTCATTTTGAACAAAATCAGGTATACCAAATACTTAGCTTGGACAGAAAGGAAGCAAAGATGGTGTAAGAAGGCACAAAGCACTGGAGAACCAGTCTTTTGAAGAGTAACAGAATAACCAAATCAGAGACCAGAATACCTCGTTTTGAGACTTTGACATTGCTTGGGCTTCCAGAGGTTGTTGACACTGTAATGTTATGTCTGTTATGCATTTTCATATTTTGTGTTTGTCCTATCTTTTAGTATTATTTTCAAATTAATACTGTCTTGAATGGTTCTCCTATGCTGATCACCAAAGACATACACTGTTTAAATTACCCAGTAGTGGCATGTAGACTATAACTCTGCAAAAATATGCTATTACAGTATTCTGAAAATAATGTGATCTGTACACAATAGGGTCCAGTGAGTCTCAGGAAACTCCATATTACAGGACATTAACTCAGATTGAAACCAACCAAGTCACATTAAATATAAAATAAAATAGTGCTTTTTTCCACTACAGATGCAAGGCAAGTTTACCTACCTACACTCCAATAGTGACTGTCCTTCTCTCAGAATCCACTCCTCCCCAACACAGCCTTTACAAGAAATCAAGTTTCATCACTAACAAATCATTTAAGTGAAAACCCTGTAGGTTAATGATATGGAATCCATACTGAAGAAGTCATGGCATGAAGACACCAGCCCTTTAATTTGCTAAGTTAAAACAGCTTAAAACGACTCTCTCTCTCTCTTTATATGTGTGTGTATGTATATGTATGTGTGTGTGTGTGTGTATATCTTTCCCTCTCTCTCTCTCCCCACACACCCATACGAATCCTGTCCTTGTTGCTAACTTCTTTATGTTGAATTATGTTGAACTGCATAAGTGTTAATAAATTCTTAGTTGGTACCTGCAGGATTAGAGTTTCCATTGTTTCTATTTTTTGGAGCACTCAATCTGGTAACAGCTCTGCCCTGGTAGCATAATCACAGCAAATACTATTATGCACATTTATTGGTTATTTTTATTCATATCTGCATTACTTTTATTCCTGACATGAAAATAATCATAGAAGGGAAGAACTAGGACTAATTTTTAGATTTAAGCACAGTATTATATATGAACACATTATTGACTATATATATATTTCCTTATTTTCTGAATACTAAGACAACTATTCAGATTATAGATGGTATGTTGAACTGAGTAAATAATTTTCACAACAACAGTGTTAGTTATTGTGTTTCCTCATTATGAGAAGCAGGAAAATTAATAATATGTGGAAATCATATTTGATATAAACATATTACTTTTTTTCAGTCTTAGTGGTCAAATGCACTCTTTGTTTACTTCATCTTTCCTTATTTGATAATCAAAATAGTTGTGAGAATCAAATGATCTGTCATGTCCAGTTTGATCATCAAATTTAACATGTCCAGAAGTGATATTTCTTTACAGAATAACTATATCACAAAATTTTAAGTTCTAGTTGTAGTTCAGTTGCTTAATAGAATAATTTTATCATACATTTCCTAAAGTAAGTATTTTAATTTCTAAAAATGTATTAAAAGATAAAAATGCCAAAAT